TAATTATATCTATATACCATACTTTCAGTCCAATAATAATAATTGTTAGAACATATATATATATACACACATATATGTATGTGTTACATATTGTTTTTTAAATATTAAAATTATGAATTGTGAAACAATTTAATTACACAGTAAGATCAAGTAAATAGTTTTACTGATTTTTTTATAATATAAAGAAGTAGGTGCAAATAATTGTTAAAACAAAATTATTGCCATTATACAGAAACTATTGTGACTTGCATGTTCCTTTTTTTTTTATTTTTTATACAAACAAGTGATAGATCCAGTGCACAGATGAAAATATTTATATTTTATTATATAGTATATTATATAGTATATTATATAGTATATTAATACACATCAGTTTTTTAGTATAATTATTATTTTATTGTTATTATATCGTCACTATTATTATTATTATTATTATTATAAAAACAAATTGGTTGTGATTATTTTATATATTGTAGTTGATACATGATCTAAGAGCACACATGAACATAGATACGTTTTTAAAAGTAACCATATATTTCATATTCACATAATTATATCAGACGAAGTAGAATTCTTGTGTGTGTGATCTTAATAGTACATCTTATATTAAATTTTGGTTGCAAGAACCTGCCATATGCCATGCATAAAACTATAGCAGCAGTGCTGTAAAAACAGTGTAAAGTGTAAATATGAAATTTGAAAGAAATGATATATAAAAAACAAAAATTAAAATACTTCTTAAAAATAAAGCAAACTAAGTAATATAAATAAGAATATGTAACTAAAAATGATGATATACATCCTGGAACATCTTTTTACCTTCCCGAAACATTTGTTGCACTCTGGAATGTCCATCCTCAAATATCATAAGATCAATATGCTGAAAAAGTTAGATTCTTTGAATATGTACTTTTATGTTATATCTGAAAATAATTAACTAACTAATTTTGTGATATATATATTAAGAATAATTAAGAAAACTTAAATAAACTATATCCTTTGTACAAGATTACAAATACCACAGTAAACATAGCATACACATACACATACATACATACATACATTATAAATATGGTTTTATTATTACTAGTGATGACAAAAAATACAATTAATAATGTACAAAGTATCATTATTAATATGGACGTGGAGGCGGACCTCCACGCATCATACCAGGTGGTGGGCCACGCATTCCTGGTGGTCCCATTGGTGGGCCGCCTCTTCCCATTGGTGGCATTCCAGGTGGCATTCCTATAATGAATTAATATATAGTGTGCTCTACTTTCCTTAAAATAGATCTAAACAAATATAAGAAAAATGTATATGAACAAATGAAATAAAATTGTTATTTTACCCATCATCCCTGGTGGTGGTCCCATCATACCAGGTGGTGGTCCACTTACAGGCATACGTGGAGGACCACCTGGATGCATTTGCGGTGGTGCTGAAACTTGACCTCTACCACCAGGTGTCATTATTTGTTGCGATGGACCACCAATGCCTCTAACCGGTCCTTGTAAACCTGCAGGTACTCCTGCAATACTCGCAGGCATGCCACGACCAGCAGGTCGTCCTATACCAGGACCTGGTGCAGCGCCTGGAATAGGAACTCTAGGCAATCCTTCCTCCGGAGGTGGAGGACCTTCTACAGTAAGAGAAACAATATTTTCTCCTCTCAAAAGTACAAAACCTAAAACGCGTTTTTGTTCAGTTTCAGGTTGTTTTGTATTCTTCGGTTTAATTTTACGAAATTCTTCACAATCTCCAAGAATAAGATTCATATGCTTATCAAACGCCTTAAATGTTCCTATAAAGGTTCTTGAATCCTGAAGAATGATTCTAACCCTATAGTTAATATGCTGAAGCATTTTATTGTTTTTCCCGATCGTCTGGAAAATACAATAGATGAATATGTATAATAAAATATATAAATGTGTTACATAAACATGTATATTTGCATATATATGCACATATGAATTACATGTATGAAGACTGTCATTAATTTGTGAAATACAATATTTCTCGTATATCATTTTTACCATGGTAAAACTTAACAATGTGAAAGTTTAATTTAGAAAATTATAAATAAAAATCTTAAGCTATGTTTATATTGACATTCATAATACGAAGAGACAAACAAGTAATTTTCAATAATATTAATGAAATACATAGATAACAATAATTAAACCGGATATTATTGTTGAAATAAAATGATGTGACTTAACCTTAATATCTTACCATTTTTGAAACGTTTGTCGGTTGTAGAGTAACTAAAATATTATATTATTTCTTTACACTATTTTTATAATAAACACGTTATGATTTCACGTAACAGAATTAAATCTAATGTTAATTCATAAACTGAAGCAAAAATTAACTGAAATAATCAAAAAAAACTACACAATCCAATTCTTCTAATAAACTTGAGAGACCGGAAACATAAAAGCAACGATAAAAATAGTATTTAAAAAATTGTCTCTAGATGACTCTGTTAATGAATATCTATATAATGCTATTGACTACCGATAAAGTAGATTTCACCATTTCATTGACAAAACTAAAGACAAAAATTTCACCGTACGAACGCTGGTGCCAGAACCTCAACAGCAGAAAAAAATAAATAAATGCTCTTAATTGCTCATTAAATGCTCAATTAAAATCCATAATTGCTCACTTTCTAATAATTAATTATTTAATTAATTATTAATAATTAAAAATACACAATTTTTTTTTCTATTTCGAAGCAAAGCAATGAAGTTTTCTATTGTTTTTTGTTTTCAATCAATTGCTGACTTTTTGTTTGTCCAGCTCCTCAACTTTATTTTATTAAATATTTTTTATTTATCTTTAATTAGTTGAAAATAATTATTACACTTTGAATAATTATGAAATGATGACGTCATGAGTGGGAGATATGTTATACGCATGCGCATCAACAAAACTTTGAAAAAAATGGAGGTAAAGTCGATATACCTGCAGGAGATATATTTGAAAGTGATTTCTAAAGTAACACCGTATCGGGTAATGAAAAGAAATAGGTTATTCGTTCATAATGTATAAACAATTGGTAAATATTTTATAAATTATAATTTTTATTCGTTAATAATATTTTTCAAAGTTTGTATATGCTTCAAAATAGTTGAAATTTTTTATAACATCGAGTTGTGGCATATTGAATACATTTATTTGTGGTATAATACTGGAAGACTTATTGTTGTGTAAAAATTGAGAAGGACAGATTTATTGATTATGATTGTTAGTATTAAAAGAAAGATAGGGAAAAATAGGCTTAAATGTCGTTTCTTTATTTATAGGTAAGAGAACTATTAATAATGTAAATAATGTAAAGAAACTTTAATTATTGTTTAATAAAAAAAAAACTCTATTTATAGTGAAACCCAATTCAGTTTATTCACCCATAAAGTTTTTATAAGAAATAGAAAAACATTATATACATAATTTTATAAACTTAATTGTTTTTAATTATTTAAGGTACTGTCAATTCAGGTTTCTGGTCCACTGCATTAAACAAATTACTGGCTTCAATGAATATATCTCCAATGTCATGTGATTTATATAAACGATATGAACGTGAAATTGGTTCAGCAATAGAAAAAGTTGCCAAAGAAAGTTGTAAGCGTAGTGCACAAGAAGAGTGTCAATTAACAATAAAAATGATTGAATCTATAAACGCATTTTTGTTAAAATATAAATCTTAAAAATAATAAAAACAATAATAATTATCAAAACACATATTCAAATTTTCAATTAATACATTCATTATTTTATATTGATTCAATAAATTATCTAACTTACAAATGAATTTCTGTTTATAAGTTAACCACTTCAAATGCAGTTTGAATATTGGCGCGTAAAGTCAACGTGTAATAGAGCGTTGTCAAATTGCGATATATGACTCCCATTACACAGCTGTTCTATTAACAAAATGTCAACTTTAAATAATTATCTTTTCAACAAATCAATAAAAAAATATTATTTTTATCTCAGAATTTTTCTAATTTTTTTTTATTAAATATTAGTTTTGTATAAAATTCCTAAGAAAAGTTCTTAAAATACACGCTAAACTATACTTTTTTCGTATACTTGATTGACCTATTACATGTAATGTAATGTGCAATTTCATTATGAATATCTCGTTTCTCAATCAGTCGAAAAAAATTGTTGTTTTTTTAGCAAATACAAAAGAGCGCTACGCGAATTCTTAAAGAAATCCTCTACAGGCCACGCGCGTTATTTACGTTACTATTATATTAAAAAAACAATTGTGTCAGTCACCTGTGACTGACGTGAACTCGACGGATAGTTCAGTGTCAGTCACCGGTGACTGACGTGAACTCAACGTGTTAAAGATGAAATTCAAATTTTTAAATTGAATCAATCATATTTAAAAAAAAATAAAATAATTTTAATTAGACAAAAAAAAAGAAAGAAAATTAAATGAAACTTTACAAAATTATAAATTTAATTACGCTCACTATATATGGTGAACTCTATACCAACGTTCCAAAATATTCTAAAAATATTTGACGAAAAACTGTTACTGAAATGGTCTGCAAAAAAAAAGATGATTAGTTTGAGTGAATACAATAATACTGTATCATTGAGAATAGAGAAATAAAAAAGATTTCTTTAGTCTTTAAATAGTATAGTATTCATATACATACGTATGCACGGGCTGTAAGTAAGGTTTCATTGTCTGCCGGGATGTTATTATCGAAAAAAAATGTCTGCCGTATAAAATGTAGGTTCCTAATATTATAATAAATAACATTAAAATTTCAGATTTGTTAAAATACATTTGAAATTTGATCTTTTTTCAAAAATGTCTGCCATAACTTTAGAATCGTCATTATTGTCTGCCATTATTTTGGTTTGAATAATAGTAAATAATTAAATATCCAATTATCAGCTTTAAAAAAAAGCTTTTAAATTGGATCTAAATTTTGTACCTTTGCTACCTGAGTGACGGCATAGGAATCGCCGCCGAGCTTAGTTAGTCTCCCTCTAATGTATGGTAGTGTTACGTCCCGATTGGACGATCGATTTAACACTAGATTTACCAGAGCAGTCATTTTGACTGGTCGTACAATTTCAATTCTAAATTCCTCTACTACATATAACATTTTATTGCCGAATTGATGTTATGACTTTTGTAGCTATAAGTAGAGAATACATTTTATGAATTTTTTTTTTTTTTATATATGCTGGTAAAAAAATTTTTTTTTTTTTTTTGACATTTATACCAGTACCAGTCAAAATGACTGGTGCATGTTTCCACAAAGAAATGTATGATTTCGGGTAAATCATAAGACCGTTGCAGATCAGTCAAGTGACAGTAATTGCGAAAATAATTCAAACAAACGGACAAGACGATGCATGCGATTTCTTTCTAGTTCTGAAGACGAAGTAACTTATTAAATCAGCAAACTGAAATTGCTTCAGATGGAACTATTTGGATGAGAATTGAAAAAAAAGGTTTTGCTGGTAGACTACCAGTTCATAGTGCTTTCAAAGATGTACACGGGCTAACAGCACATGCTAAAAGAAACATTATTGAACGAGGATCTAAGTAGYDCGTTCATAYTAYTGATTGAAAACCATATGTTGGAACATATACGAATTTGTACAGAGTTAGAAGCCTC